GTGCCCCATGGGAATGCCGACGGCAGCGCCGTGGGCAGGGTCCGGCATGGGACGGGATCCCCCCCCCACCCCTCGGGCAGCAGAGACCCGCTTGACCCGGAGACAAGGCACAGCCGTGAAGCGGGATGGTGCTGCTGGGCGTCACTGCAGCCACAGCACGGACCAGCTCAGGGTGGCTTCAGTGGCGCTGGCACCAACCCGTCCATGCCAGGGGAGCCCCAGCAACCACAGGAGCCACAAGCCCCATAAATTATAGAATCCCAGACTGGTTTGGGTTGGAAGGGAACTTGAAGCTCCTCCAGCTCCAACCCCTGCCACAGGCAGGGACCCCTTCCACTGGAGCAGCTTGCTCCAAGCCCCTGTGTCCAACCTGGCCTTGAGCACTGCCAGGGATGGGGCAGCCACAGCTTCTCTGGGCACCCTGTGCCAGCGCCTCAGCACCCTCACAGGGAAGAGCTTCTGCCTAAGAGCTCAGCTCAGTCTCCCCTCGGGCAGGTTCAAGCCATTCCCCTTGGCCTGTCCCTACAGGCCCTTGTCCCAAGCCCCTCTCCAGGTTTCCTGCAGCCCCTTTAGGCACTGGAGCTGCTCTAAGGTCTCCCCTTCAGGAGCCTTCTCTTCTCCAGGCTGCCCCAGCCCGGCTCTCTCAGCCTGGCTCCAGAGCAGAGCTGCTCCAGCCCTCGCAGCATCTCCATGGCCTCCTCTGGCCTCGCTCCAACAGCTCCACGTCCCTCTTGTGCTGCTGCCCCAGAGCTGGATCAGGGCTGCAGGGGGGGTCTCCCCAGAGCACAGCAGAGGGGCAGGATCCCCTCCCTGAGCTGCTGCTCATGCTCTGGGGGTGCAGCCCAGCACACGGGGGGGTTCTGGGCTCAAGCGCTCACTGAAGCCGGGTCATGGGGAGCTTCTCCTCACCCAGCACCCCAAGTCCTTCTCCTCAGGCTGCTCCATCCGGTGTCCCCAGCCTGTGTTTGTGCTGGGGATTGTATTACAGATGGAGTTGAACTCCCATGCACCTCCTAACACAGGACATCAATATCACACCAACAAATGCAACTGCGCAGCCCTGTCCCTTGCTCCAAGCCAAGAACACACGGAGCTTGGCTGCTGGCTTAAAATAAGTAATATCCATTAAAAACAACACAAACACGTTGTGCTCCACCAGGGTAAACCAGACAGGTACCTGCTTGCCTTTGGTCACCCAGGGATCCTTCCACACTGGACACGCACTTGTCTTTGTGTTCAATGCTGGTTGCACCCAAGCATCCACACAGAGGATGCTGAGGAAAGGATGCTCCGAAACCGCAGCCCTGACCCAGCTCCAGACCGTGGCTATCAGCTCTGACAGCCAGACACAAACAGGGTAAATGCTCTCCACTGAAGGCAATAAAGAAGCCAAAGACTTGACTCTTTAACCTTTTTTAATCAAAAACATACTCTGTTACAGAATTTCAGGAAAGTTAACTACAGTATATTATCCACAAACTAGGTCTAATGAAAAACATACAGTAAGCTACAAAGGAACTACTGGGAATTCCGTTGACCGCCTATCAAAAGGCAATGGCTGAAAGCAGAAATGCTTAGCTAGGCTTTCATGATTAAAAAAACCCTCTCATGGCGAGTTTTGGGTTCTGGTGCTTCCCAGCTCTCAATCCGGCTCAATCACAGCTTCATGGTGGTACCAAACTTCACCAAAAAGACACAGGAAAAGGTACCGGAGCGGGAAAGCGCTGGGTGATTCTGGAGAGCTCGGAAGGCTCAAGTCCTGTAAATTTAGGAGTGATGGTACCAAGGCACAACAGCAGCCAACAGTGCCGGAATCTCTTGGGTTTTCATGGGCTCTGCTTTCCACCGGCTCTCACCAAGGGCAGGTCCTGGGGACCTCAGCAGCCCCAAACACGTGCTCACACCTCCCTGATCCCTTCAGAAACGCTGTCGAGCAGAGCAGAGCATTGTGGAGGTGGTGATGTGACAAAAGGGTACGTGCAGCACCCAGCTCCCCCATGACTGCTGGAGAAATGATTTCCATTGGATTCCTTTTCCTGCCCAGGAACAAAGAGCTGAGTAAACTGCAACAGGGGTAGGAGCGACCAGCTTAGTGCTCATGAGTAACATGCACACCTATGATGGGGAATTTGCAAATCTCAGTCCCAACAACAGTGCTGTGGCCCCCCAAAACCTGTCGCGAGTCATTGAAATGCTCCTGGCATCCGCAGGGCCAAGCAAGACCATTGCTTTTCATGTTTATGTCTTCTAAAACAACAAAGAAGAAAGTCACCTCCCAAAAATTGTGTCCTTCTCAATACCCGACACCGAAACATCTTGCAACTTTAGAGCAGATGTGAAGTAGCTTGAGGCCTGGCGGGAGGAGGGTGGGGAGGAAAGAGGATTTCTTAGACCAAGCCTGAATCCCACTTAGAGGCAGACCCATCTGGCTGTCTTTTAACTGGCTGCATTAGAGAAGTGACCAGCAAGCCCAGTCACCCTGCGCAGCAGAGTACAGATGCAGGTCAAGGAGACAGTCCTTTCTAAAGCGCTTACTCTTCCAAGAAGAGATTAGAGAGGTGTCAATAAAGACCACCACCAAGACGTAAACAACATCTGAAGGGTTCAGGGGCAGGAGCCCCCCTATACACACTGGCACTGGAATTGTTTTTAATGGTTCCTAGTAAAAGAGCTGCGGCAGTCGTTCCTGAGCTATGCAGAGAGGATGCTGTCATCGTTGGAAGTGTCACAAGAAGATGGTCTCAAAGGTAAGGCACAGGAGTTGGACACAGGTTCAATGACTACTGCTGCTACAGACCTGTTCTGTGGCTGGGAGACACTGTCTTGTCTCCTCTGTACTTGAGGTCTCCATCTATAAAGCAGCCAGAGCTCTTCCCAGGTCTGTAGGCATAAGCTGTTAATGAAGTGATTTGTATCACAGAGGGGAGTCCAGTTAGAACTCCTGTTAGAACTGAGTAACTTAAAACCATTCCAGCATAAAAGGCTTCCTCTCCTACACCTCTACTCTGTGTTAACTTCAAATGCCCTCGCTTTCAGTAACACACAGTAACACAGCTCACAGTAACACGGCTAAAGCCGGCTAAAGCTTCCGGTGCTAATCCCAGCTCTTCAGTGAAATTACACAGTGCCCTACGCACAATGCTGGGCTTGAGGAGCACATAACTGAGGGTGAGAAGCACAGGGGTGATTACTTCACCAAGAGAACTCAGCAGAGCAGGCACAGGATCACAAGCAGGAGACTGCTGGCTGAAAAACGTACTTGTTGAGCTCACTGAACCTGAGACATTCAGAGCTGAAGAGATGCCTACGGCACGTATGGGGACCGTCACGGCTGTCAAGGAGCTGTTGCTCTTCCTTGAATCTGAGAAAGAGATGTAAATGCAGGACTGTCAGCGATTCTGTGTGCTGCTGCTGAAGGGTTTCCAGTTCAATATGTGCTGCCTTCTACGCCTTGTGGTAAGAAATAAAAGCACAGAAATTACATTAAAAGTGTATTAAAAACTAAGAATAAGAGTCTCTCATTTTGCCCTTCAACAGTTACGGCTGCACCTTATTGGTAATGGCCTGCTGGAGAAGATGAATGACATTTTAGTATCTTTACTGACTTACACAATGTTCAGGTTTCTCTTCATGTGGAGCCTGATTTCTTGGTTCCAATAAACTCGTATGACATTATTTTGTTGTTCTATCCTGAACATTCCTGGCCATCTAAATACAACACCATGGGTACCATTCACTGCAGGTAGAGGCTTAAGGAGATTTGAAAAACATCTGCAAAAAGAGAAGTACTCTTTAACAGCTGAATTCTTTCCGAGTGTAATAGAGGCAAGAAAAACAACAATCTTTCACTGTTTTCTCAAAATTTGGCACAATCAAAATGAGAGCAATTGGTACAAAAGGTTTGCTGTGAAGTAGCCATACACAGATCAGTCATCCACCAAGATGAGCACCTTGCAAAACCACTAAGTTAAACAGGGCATAAGCACGTGCCCTTCTAATCAAACAAACAGTCTATTAGAATAAATTGATCAGACAGAAGGCACTTCCCAAAAGCCGAGGCATCTCAAACCCCGCTGTAAGAGCAGGACTGGCAATTCAAAAGGGAGGCTGGCAAGAAGAATGCGTGGTCAGGTTTTTCATTTCTTCCCCCAGATCAAGTTTTCAGTTGTGGATGAGGTGTTAACTGAGCTGCAGGTTAATAAGCTTCTCTGAGGATGTAGTCAGAAGCCTCTAATGAAAGTGCTCTGCAAGAAGCTTGCTTTTCAGACAAAATGCATCATTAAGAAAGAGAAATGAAAAAGGTTTTAAACTGAAGGCCCTGAGAAAAGCAAACACCGTTTTTCCAAACACGAAGAAGTTGCTGCAAAGAGGGAAAAAAACCCACCCAACAATGATCTCATTAGAAGCAAGTCTGAAGAAGGCAACTCTGTTAATGAAAATACAGAGAAAACTCATCCATTTCTGGCTGTTGCTAAGACAGAAACAGTGACTGCTGCCTGCCTTCCTAAGAATGTCAGCACACAGGGAAAGCAGCACCTAAAGCGCTGTGTGACACAGCCCTAAGCAGATTCCTGAAACTATGCAAGAAACTTGGCAAAAAGCTTCTGAATAATCTCTTCCAAGTCTTCTACTTATGTTAACCACTACAGCTGTGCTGCCAGGTCAGCTCAGAACAGCATGACAGGCAGACCAAACTGGCACGGCTTGAGAGATTTAAGCTGGAGTCCATGTACTTCTAAGCTTGCTTAACTGAGCTCTCTACACATACATGGGAAATAAGGAACTCCTGCTCCCTCTTCACACCCCATCAAAGAGCCAAAAGAGATACCCTCAGGACACACTTCCATTGAGAAGCAGTGAAAGCAAGTAAAACTGGGCTGGCTTCATGGCCAAGAAAAATTCCTACCACTACTGGCTGCTGCTGCTGGTCTTGCGAAGGACGTTAATCCATCACTCCAGATCAATGATTTCATGGTGCAAAATTACATAACAGAAGCAAATTAAATTTATAAAAATCAGGGTTTTCATAATTTTATTTATACTATTAGCTAGAGAGAAAGCATACATATTGTATCTGTCATACAGTCAATACATTTGCAGGTTTTTTTCTACTGTAAATTCTCTATACAAAGTCACTGCCAATTGATACGGTCATCGATGGCATAGGGCTTAAAATAACCAAGAGGTATAAAAACAAGTTTGCCATCTTGCCCTGAGTGGAAATGGTGAACAGATACAAAAAATCAAATCGTAAATATTGATGTATTATTATCATACATGATTTAATGGTATATGCAAGTAAAAAGAGTCATGCAACTTTTTAAAATACCTGCCAGGTTTTACTTGAGTAAAATCATAGAAGTCAGTAGTAACTATGAAAATATGTTCCTGCCATTAGGTACTTGATATGCAATTTCAGTGGCAACTTCAGTGGCAGACTGGGCATTTCATGCTAGATCCGAGTGCCAGCACTGAAAGTATCCATTTCCTTTAGTGTTTTAAAATTCATGTGTCTATATAAATAAAAATCTAAAGATATCTTTTTTAAAAACTAGTGAAGGAAAAGCCACGTTTCTTTTCCTTGCTATTTCAGATCAATGCCAACAACGTATGTCTCTTCCCTCAATTTTTGGCAGCTTCTATGTTTTAATCTGGAAAAATCATAAGAAGATAGTCAACAAAATAAAGAAGTCTTCTGTTAACCATTGTTCCCTAAAAAGAACATCACAAATCAGTCTGAATTGTAAAGCTGCTATAAGGTAAATGCTTGTAACTACTAGAAGGAATTTTCAGATATAAATATATATATAATATATATTCTGCATACAAAAGGCTCCTGTGAGGCTTGTCACCAAGATGCCACAATAGAGAAGGAAAATTTTTGCAGGGAACAAACCCAACACTGTAAAGTCTCTATAAGGCATTTACCTTTCACTTTAAGCCCTGTATTACAACATTAAAGTTCTGAAAATAACTGAAATTCAAATTCTGCATGTTCGGTTTCTTTCTGCTAAGAGCAAGGCGGCAAACGCATTTTTAAAACCTGGTTTAAGAAGATTGAGCAGAACGAAAGTAAAATATATCTTCAGGTTATAAACAGAATTGTATTTTACAATCCACCATCCTCACAATATAATGGCCCACAGCAGTGCAGCACAAGGATCTCAGTCTAAAGGTTGTGGGTCTGCAATAGGCATGGTATGAAGTACTTCATCTAGAAGCTGGAGCGCACGGTGTAAGTGAATTTCAATCCAGCACGGTGTCTCTTTGATGCTCTGCCTTGGGTAATCAGGTCCCCAACCTTTCACAAAACTCATCCTGAGTATGCATAAGCGGCGAAGATCATCTACACCAATTCCAGCAGCAGCTGACAAACCTAAACAGGAGAGGTTTCAAGTAAGTGTTCGTGGACATGTTCTTCCATTATCTGTTTTAGCCACTCATGTTTGTTTGGGTCTTCCTTCACGTACAGTTCCCTCTCACTACAGCCAAAGCCAATCCATATTTCTAGATCTCTGCTATCACAAATCATAGAATCACAGAATGGTTTGGGTTGCAAAGGACCTTAAGATTGCCCAGTTCCAACTCCCTGCCATGGGCAGGGATGCCTCACACTAGACTATGTCACCCAAGACTCTCTCCAACCCAGCCCTGAACACTGCCAGGGATGGAACACAGCAATTACTTTGCATTTCTTTTAAACAGTTGTTTTTTCATCATTCATCAACTTTGAAAAGGTGCTGAAATACTGAACCTCTTATGATAAAGCAGACATCATGAAACCCAGTATCTTATGTGATACAATGCATATAAACCTTATTTAGGAAACACTGTCAGAAAATACTTATTCTTGAGGTTTGCCAAATGCTGCATTTTCAACACAGAAATCAGGCTTACCCCCTGCAAGAAGCTGAATTAACAAATGATGCTACTTGCATCTAATAAAAAGATTAACAGAGCTGGCAAGCTTCAAATCACACATATGGCTAAGACAAAAAGTTACATGAATTCCCCAAATGCCTTCAGTGATTTGTAGGATAGCCAGAAAGAGCCACATGGAATCCAGAAAATGCTATGGCACACAGGAAGAAGTTCTTTACTGTGAGGGTGGTGAGGCACTGGAACAAGTTGCCCAGGGAAGCTGTGAATGCTCCATCCCCAGCAGTGTTCAAGGCCAGGCTGGACACAGCCTTGGGTGACAAGGTCTGCTGTGAGATGTCTCTGCCCATGGCAGGGGGGTTGGAACTAGATGATCTTAAGGTCCTTTCCAGCCCTAAGTATTCCAAGATTCTATGATTCTATAAAGCAGCCTGAGACATATAAGTACTTATGCTCTTAAAAAGTACTTAGGTACACATTCAAGGATCTAGAATTTAGTAATTAAGAAAACTTTACCCCAGAATAACTTAAAAAGAAAAAAAAAAACAGAAAAAAAACCCCACAAAAAAAAAAAACAAACCAACAACTAAACAACATCACACTTTCTTCTTCCTCGTCTCAGGAATCTTAGTATTATGTTTCCCTAAACCTAGACAAGGACTTTGTTGCCCAGTAATCCCATTGTTTTGAACACCATTTTCATGAGATTAGATCTCAAAGACTATGTTTTCAAAAGCTCTAGCCTAAGCAGCCCCAAAGTATCTTTGTTTAAAGTAACAGGGTACACTATTTCACCTTGTGCATAATGTGTTCTCCACTGTACTGCAAAAATTGAAGTGGATCTGCTTATTGTACTCCAAGAAATACAGTACGTACTTCTTAATAAGCAGTACAATAAGCAGCCACTTCTATATCCAATATTACCTGAAGACTACAGAGTGAAAACTGGTGTGTAGCACAGGTTAGAAGTGGATGAATACAGAGTGATCACGATGCCACCAAGCCCCACCTTGCCTCAGTCCTGCACTTTACTTGTGCTGCTCCAGGGGCAGCAGGTGGATGGGTGCTGTTAAAAGGGGGAGCTCTGTTATTTATTTTCAGGTAAGGAATAAAGGAGACCAAGCAGTTAATGTACTTACTAATGGCTGGGGCTATTCCACCTACTGAACCTGGTCCAGGGATGTTTCCTGCTACTGCTGCAGCTTGAGCAGCAGCAGCAGCTTGGGCAGTGGCAGCCTGCTGCTGCATCTGACGATGGCACTGGCGCAAGTCAAACACCTTTAAAAAAAGAAGTATCAAATTATGCAGACTTACAGAAATCAGTGAAGATAAAAATTCCTCATCTCCCATCCCCAATAATCCGGAAAACTCTGCTTTCCCAAAGCAAATCCTACAGTTTCACCATACACTTAGGTAAAGCAAATCTTCCCTTACTAGTTTAATTTCTAACAGATTAAAGCTGATTCTTAAACACTCTTCATGTTAACCACACTGGCAATTCCAGAACCTGGCTGAGCTGAGCAGGCTGCAGCAGTAGCTTGCGTGGAAGTGTCAGCAGGATGAAAGTCTGAAGGATGCTACATGCTGATAAAATACCAACTTTTTAGTTAAACCCCAGTATTTCCACAAAATAAGCATATAGATACAAATGGAAGCCAGCAAGTCCTCCTTAACTTTGTCAGACTTCATTCTTCACTGCTTCACAGAAATGTGTTATTGTATTTAAAAGAAACACTGATAATCGATCGGCCTGAGGTTTCAGCAGCTAGATTTTGGGTTGGTGGCATTTTCCATCTTTGTGACCAGGCTTGGCACTAATGTATACAGGAATTCTGTTCTCGTACTAGAAACCTTGTAGATAGAGAATGACGGGGTTTCTTTCACCTTCATTACACAACCTGCCTCCTGAGGATTAAACTGAGGATTAAAAATAAATAAATAACTGCAAATTTCAAGCAGTTTCTCTCTAATTCAAGAATTGTTTTTTTTTTTTTATAAGTGTGACTTGTGCTAAATAAAGTTTCACATCTGACACAGGCATCTCCAAGTAACAATCTGTTGAAAATAATTTGTTTCCATGCAACTTAAGTGGCCCCTGGATCACTTCAGGTTCATGAAGTGGATCACTGTAACACACACTTTACACTTCTGCACTTTCCCAACTCTTCTTGCTTTGGAGGTAAACAAACAGATAACCTATGCTAAAAAATTTAGTTGAAATTTATTTAAAACTGTAAGGGTAAAAATATAAAAACCTGCTATTAAGACTGTGATGAAACACAAAATTAGTCATTTCTGCAGTAGCTAGATTATACTTTCATCTTAGAGTAATTTTAAAACCTCAGGAGACTTGTCAAATGGAAATTTTAGGGCTTTTTTTAAAGGATAACCAAAAACAAAGTTAAATTTATTTCAGTATCTCATCACTTTCCCAACATATACCAGAATGAAATGCAATTTCCCTCACAGTTTTCATCCAGGAACATCAAACTAACCTTTATATATGCACTTGGGTAAATCTTGTGGACAGCATCGCCTGGAGCACGCCCTGCTTCTCTATCCAGGTAGTAACTCTGGACAAAGACCGCGTGGTCACTGAGGCATCTAACCCACACGTCACCTTCGCCTTTGCACTCCAGCTGCACTCCCTTACCTATGTGCAACCTTAAAAAGAAAAACAGGTACAATGCACCTATACATGCATACTATAGATCCCACCTTTACTAAATAAGCCTAGGTCTCCAGCAGTCATCTGTGGTGCCTTAATTTACACTCCACACACTCAAGGATTTCAAAATCTAATTATTAGCTGAGGTATAAGTTAGTAGATAGTTACACAAAATCAGTACAGTAAAAAATACTGTAATACCATGCAAAGATCTACATGAAACAGAATGCAGAAACTGTGATACCTGAGTAGCAACTACTGTACTCGCTGACAGTACAGAGACAGGATACCAAACACATTCAGCTCTGTTCAGAAGTGGAAAATCACCCACAAGTACTCCAGCACAGAAAGTCACTCAAGTACATACACAAAGCCACATTTTAATGCAGAACTGTGTGTTCATTTGGATCCCATTACAGCAATCTAGCATCTTACTTGTCACAATGCAAATCTGTGCTCGTCACAATGCACATTTCTGAAGACATGGAATAATTTTCTTCTTTTCTTGTTTCAAAGAGGGGAAAAAAAAAGCTGCAAGATGGCTTCAGTTCTCTGTGCTTCCACAAAGCCTAGCACGTGCATGGTGAGAATGAATGAAAATCCAAATAGCTCTCCATCAACGCTCCTTTGCTCCTTTGACAAATCTATATATTGCTACTATTCTCACATCACTCTCTGGTGTGGAGAGCTAATATTCAGCCTGCATACATAATGGCACGGGATGCTAATTTTATCCCTGACAGCAGAGCCTTTGAGAGCAATGAAAAGCAATGTGCTTCTGCAAAGCACTGAGGGTCTTTGTCACGCAGTTCACATTCTGAATGCCTAACAGCAGTGGCCTAGAAAGATACACTCTGCTGCAGTTAATTCAGTTAAAAGAAACATACCATACTTGTAGTTTGAAAAGGGAGGCACACACTGAAGGCAGAAACAAAATGTTATCAAATACCACAGACAGCTGGAGCTTTTGAGATGTGCGGATTACCTTGCTCTCTCAATGGCTTCTGTTCTATGCACATTGGAAAGCTGCCCCAGGCAAAAGCGATCTCCTCCAGAAGGATCCACATATCCATCAACAGTGACAATCGGACAGCTTGAAGGGACCTTAAATGTTTCCCCAACTTGCACGTCCATTTCAAAATAAGCGATTGAACACCAATATTCTGGAGCTAAAGAATATGTATGATTAGCTGACCAAAATGCACAAAAAAACCCCTATAAATACATTCCAGATAATCAATTAAGCCTTCTGAAACTGCATTTGTCATTCAGAGTAGGAGTGTATATTCACATAAGCAAGTTCAGATAGACAAAGGCATGTCTGCTAGCACAGAAAAATGCTACATGCTACAATGAACATGGGCTTGTCATTTCTGAACACGCACTGATGTGAAGAGGTTTTGTAGTTAAGACAAGTCTCTGTACAGTTTATAACTCCAGTTAGATTTTGTAAGGGGTCTGCATTCCTGCACCTTCCAACTATTGCTTGATTTTGCTCTTTAACGTAAAGAAGAAATACACTGTATGAAACCCAAACACTCAAGTAAGTGAGGAAACCTGACAGAACAGCAAGTAACTTTATATACAGCTGCTTGTGTGCTACCTGGGAGCAACTGGCTTGTCAAGCCTTCCACACAGCTTACTGCGTTTGCTTTCAAGTGTTAAGAGTTTTTCTCTTCAGACATGCTACAACCTAAAGTTGGCATAAGCTGAAGTTGCTGGAGATTCTGGGGACTCGGCCCCTTTGCTGACTACAAGGGCACATTTCCACAAAAGGCTAACACAGCAGTTTGCAGGGGAGGACAAAGAAAATCAGCACTACAATGGACTCAAAACAGGGTAAGCAGAAAAGGACCTACACACAACAAACAGCCTGATAAGCCAGGAGCAGAAGACCATCTCCAGGGCCTTGACATGTATTCATTCGTTACAAAATGCAGCACCCAAGAGCACACCTACTTGCCTGAAGAAACTGTTGTTATGGTTTTATTAGGAAAGAATAAACCAAGGTGCCTGAATTCCTTTAAATTATTTTATCTTCAAATGAATACTCATGTCTCCAAGGAAAGAATAGGGTGAAATCAATAGCTCAATCAATAGGGTGAAAGAGACATGCTAAATAAAATAAAACACAATTTAGCTACAGTTAAGTTCAGCCAGCAGTTATCACAGTTTTATTTCTGGTACTGATTTAGTCACTTTCCAATGAACAAACAATTTAAACTTTCAAGCTTTCCACCTGTGCAGCTTTCCTGTGCAGGCAACAGCTTTGCTGTTGTTAAAAACAAGAGTATCACCTTGTACCTGCAATGAAGCTAGCTTGTACTGCAAGACAAGACCTCCTTGGTTCCATTAACTGCTACATTAATGAAGAACCCTGGAAAGAGGAAGGTTCTACACAGAGGCCCAAACAGGAACCTGAGCAACCAAATGCAAGGCTGTGAAGATAGACTTCTAGATTATGGATGAGAGAGGTCTCTGGCATGACCTAAGGTCCATGATGGATCTAAGCAAGCAGAAAGTACAACTTCAGGCATCCTGCAAAAGTAATTATCAAGGATATTCAGAGTTCAGACACCTCCAATATAGGTTTCAGGACTGCAGTTCTTGACTTAGGCATGTAAACTGAATTCAGTTTGCAGCCTATGTCACCATTCCAAAAGAGACATCTGAATTCAAAAGACAACAGAACAGTTCTTTTTCCTTCCTTCCCTTTTGAATATATATCTCAAATTTTAGTGTATTTGATACAGAAAATACCCAAACAAATATACAAAGAAAAAAAACAACAGACTCAAACCAGAAAGTTGTTAGCTTCCACAACATTAGCATTACATATTAGATTTTACTCACCAGGATGATTTGATATAGGAGGCTGAAATGCAAGTTCATTGTGAACTGGCCCTTTAAGAGAAAACATGCAATTTGTTTTACAGGAGAAAAAGCAAAGTTTTCTTTCTTAACTTGTTTTCCTATTAAAAGATACCTGTGAGGATGCCAGATGTTACAAATCCCAGTAGTTTCTGAATCAACTGGCCAAATCTGACCAGGGATAAAATGATCATAAAAGAATTACTCTCTTAGTGGTTTCCTAAAAATCTGGGAGTAGAGCAAAGAGCTCCATTAGTATCCCAGGAGGAAATACTCCATACTGCTCAAGACAGAACCAGCTCCAGGAGAGAGCATAAACCAGACGTAGCAGAGAGATGTAATAGAAATAGGACCTAAGCTCCACATCTGCCCTCAAGTTAGTCAACGAGAAAACCATTGTATAGAGGCATGTGATCTAAATCTGTCAGAAACCATCACAGAACAAGTTGCCTAGCATGCTGTGGGCTTGACCATGAGAAACACTCCCTGAAGATGGACAGAAACCCAAGAGAACTCATTTTCTAAAGACAAAAATACTGAATACAGTCTTGGTATCGGTCAGTTTATTTTCTCTACTTTCAAAACCTGAAAGTCCCTTTCAGGCAGCAGAGAACAAGAAAGAAAGACTTAAACATAGTATTATAAGTAACAGCAGCTTTTGCAACAAGATGTCAAAACAGGCACAACGCTGGTAGGTGTCAAAACATGCAACTCTCTGAAGTGAGAAACGGCAGCAGCCAAGAAAAGCTCTATGTGGTATCACTAGCCAGTTACAAATATTAATTATAGAAAGATACATGCACTGAGGATATTTATAGAGTATCTACAGCACCACTGAAGTTTTTACATCCTGGTACTTCTGACAAATACAAGATAAATGAAGTGGGATCCTAACAGAACAGAGTAATTAACTTGACCGTACCTAAACCACAGTTTTTGTGATAGACAGAAGGTAAGAAGTCTTTCTGATATTAGTTCACCATGTATTCTCCCCTCCAATAACAAATACTGCTGCAAACAGATGATCTGGTTCAGCACTGTATTAGAAAATAAGGAACTGCTCTACCTTTTTGCCACAAAATTTAGAGAAACCTGTATTTGGGAGGGGGGGTTTTGCACTATACTCTGTATAAGGTATATACATATACAGTGCTAGACACTGTCACTAAAAGTTTTATCACTGTTTTTTTCCATTTTGATCTCCTGTACCTTACAACAAGCTGTTGTGGTCCTACTTCAGATAAAAAATCATTTTCAAGTTTGTGTGCCAAATGTAGCCATCAACCAGGCTGTATTAAGACCATGCTTTACTACATGAGCTTTCGCAGTTCTTTCACACTGGTTAGTATACATGGACACAGGTCATCCAACACTTTAATGTAGATTGCTACATCATGAAGACATTACTTCAAAATTTCTAGAAAATAAACACAGCTGGGACCTTTCAAGTATTGAAAGAAAAATATCCAAACAACACATTCTGCATCAACTTCATCTGTCACAAAGGAAATATTTACTATTAGACTGCAAAGCTTTAGAATCAGAGGTTTAGAAAAGAAATTCCAGTTTTCTCAGGTACAGTAAGACATCTATAACATAGATGGTACCAGTATAGCTATCTGAATTTCTGATCTCTGCTGCTTTACCAGAGTAAAGCCTATCAAGCTCTTACATTTAACCATCAGAATATACTGAACACAGGAATGGCAGTTCTGTAACAACAACAAAAAAGGATTTGGGGGTAACGAATCATCACAAATGAGCCCCCACCATTCAACAAAACTGGAAACAAAGCAAGTGATGTGAAAACCTGCACTACTTACAGTAATGTCCAGGATGCATAGGTGGATGATGCTGAAGATGGCCATTCTGGTGGTGAGGTATGGTAGGTGTGTAGGCTGCCGTCCGACTTCCAGTCCAAGTTGTAGTACTGTCTAGAAAAAGAAAGAAGTGGTTGGTTTTTAAGGAAGCTTTTCTGCATCTCACTTCTAATCCTCTATTTCTCCTCAATATTTGGAAACTGGTTTTAGAAAACTAAGAAGAGTGCGCATATGTATATACTCACTGTGATGGTAAGTAGCTGGCTGAGCTGTAAACCCATTCTGCTGAGTTCCTGGCTGAGGCCCTGAAGCAATCTGTAAGAGTCCATCACTATGGCTACCTGTCAATATACTGGTAGGTTGACCTGGTAAAAGAACACACTACCTATTCATGAACGTTCCAAAATTTTAATTAAGAAGAGCTCAGCACTACTGGGTAGGAAAATACACTCAACTAAGGACACTGCAAGACACAGTTCCTACAAGTTTGGTTCAGTATTTTTTTCCACCCACCGGAGTGTCTTAGGAAACTTGAAGCAAGGTGCTCTGCATTAGCTAATTTTGACTGACATCCTTAATATTTTAGCAGTAGAAGTATGCAGAGAACTCTGTTCACCAACCGTATCTTTGTTCCGTTCACACCTCATTTTCCAGTTTGAAAGGAAACAAGAAGAGATGCCACAGTTTTACTGAATAACATCGCTGGAGCAGATTTAGTATGAATCCAAACAGGCCAGCAGCAGGTCCAATCAGTTGCTTATTTTCAGGATGTTGTAACTACTGTTCCTAAGGAGGACACTCACTTAAATTTATGTGCCTCCAAAACATACTGAACAGCATTTTAGTTTTAAAAACAGTGCTTGAACAGAGCTGCACGCATCACTGGGCTGTTTCTGAGAAAGCTTCTGGGTTCCTTTTTCTCCCAGATGAACATTTCAAGAATTAACTAAGATTTAAAGTAAAACTACAGATATTTTAGAACAGGTTAACAGAATTAGATCTTAGAAGGCTTCAGCTCAGCCATTAACACTAAACTGGTCAGCAGTTTCACAAGTACATTTGCACTCTCTCAAACTGGTGTAGCTAGCAGAATTTAACACATTGAAAACTTGAACTAAAACCTAAAAAAACAAGCTTTTTTTTTTTTTTCCTGTCCACTGGGCTCCAACAATTACAGCACTGATGAGAAAAAGTTACTGACTATAAACTGTTGTGCAAAGGCAATACAATTAAACTGCCCATCCTTTTTTCTCTGCTGGAGACAAATAGACATTGTATCTCAAACTTGGCAAAACCATCTGTAGCTTTAGCAGAAAAGTAGTCAGCAAAGATTAAAAACATTATCAAAACACCATTAAAAAATAAAATTTGATAACATGAAATCCACATATTTTTTTATACTGAAGTGACAAAGAGTACATGAAACCACTCCAAACCCCCTGGTTTCTCTACATTAGAGCTGCAGGACACTGTACGTAACTGCTTTACTGTCCTGCTGGAGTGAAGAGTGAGGTTTGATGCTGGTAAACCAGACTCTTCCACTTGTACCAAATACACACAGAGAATTAAGAAAAACTTTGACACAGCTCTCCAACAGACTCATGACAATATTAATTTAGGGCTGTCTGTCTGGTAGTACAGTGGGCCATTACAAAAATAATCAAGTTAGAACCGGAAGACTTATTCTGTCAGCTGTGGAACAATGAAGAATTGTCTGAAAACCTCTTGATATCGCCACTTTACAGTGTATTTGTTTGTTCCATTTGCCGTTGCAATAAAATAATAAAATTCTTCCATTCCTACAGCAGTTATTCCAATAACAGCCATAATGTTCTGTCAGCAGGCAATTTTCTTTTAACATAGTATCACTGAACCACTGGCATATCCAAAACAGTCTTGTTACACTCACGCAATGTCAGTCTCACTGAAAAAAGACTGGGTTACCAGGAAAAGTTACTCATATTATGCTCCAAGTTAAAACCTTATGTTAATACTTAAGAGACTGCCTAGATTGTAATGCCACACACTTTCCCAGCATAGTGTAGCAGAAGTACGGTTCTGATGCAATATCTACTCTGGTAAAAAACAGCAGTTATCTTTGAGCTGTCACATTTTCACAGTTTAATATTTCATATAATCTCTAGGATCTTACTTGTTGAAGCCACAGGAATGTTGGGAAAATTAGTGGTGCTGGTAGTGCTAGCTTCAGTAGGAGCTAACATGGCTGGGGTGCTATAAGGCTCGCTAGATGCCCTGTTACTTGGTGGATGCTGGATGGTCTGGACTGAATGGCCTTCTGCCGAAGACAGTGATGGCTGCCCCTCGTAGTCAGGAACGTATTCGTCTTTCACCAGCATGCTTGATGGAGCTGTAAAGAAGCAAATGGTTAAACTTGCAAAGCAAATCTATTTTCAGGATTTAACTACAAATCGCACTACTGCTTTCAAGCAACAGCAATGCTATTAAAGCTACTGGGGAGGAGGATTTAACCTATCTAAACATTGCTAAAGCAGTCCTCTAAACTGCAAATAAACAAGGCAGCAGCAGGAAATTTTGAAGCGTTAACTGGATGGAAGAGCAAACTGTTCATTTTGCTGACTGCTCTCAATCAAGTTTAGTCCCTCAGTAGTAAATTCCAACAGCATTTTGTTTTCCAGTCCAGCACTGTGTGATTTGACATGGTTAATAAAAGAGAAAAACATGCTTTTTGTCAGGCACCCAAATATGCGTTAATGCAGTAGCTAACAAACCAATTCCTATTATAAGAATATACATAAAGCTCCTATGATAAACATAATTCATGAAAACAGCACATAAAAACTGCACACATCCCTTAAGTAATTTTATGCAACTCCCATCCAAATTGACTAGAAACATTACATTCACATCCAAAGACAATATAACACTACTCTGTATTTAACAGTGTAGACACTAATTTAGAATATTCCACATACAGTGTAAGGAAATTACTACCATGGCCACTACAAGAATTTATTTCCATCTATCCCACTAAGCACATTCAAGTAAAACTCTTTATACTCCATTAGCTCCCATGCTCGTTTTTCAAGCAGCCTTAAATATATTAAAATTTGACAGTAATTTCTGTTTCCTGCTGCAAAAAAGAGTAGCAGGACAAGGGAACACTTACTATGTATTTAACTGACAGTTATTAAGCTCTGATTCTGCACACAAGGATCATTTTTCAGAAGACACAGGTAACATGCAAATCAGCAGAGATGAGTGTGCAAGTTAAAGCTTGTGAAGTTTAAGGTCTGCTGCATTGTCTGGAGGCTTTTTAAGTCATTTTTCATAGAATCACAGAATAGTTAGGGCTGGAAAGGACCTTAAAATCATCAAGTTCCAACCCCCCTGCCATGGGCAGGGACACCTCACACTAAACCATGTAGCCCAAGGCTCTGTCCAGCCTGGCCTTCAACACTGCCAGGGATGGCGCATTTACCACTTCCTTGGGCACCTTGTGCCAGCGCCTAACCACCCTCATAGGGAAGAACTTCTTCCTTATATCTAAACTGAACTTCCTCTTTTTAGGTTTGAACCCATTAAATCTTGTCCTATCACTACAATCCCTGATGAGTATTTTTCTTGATTACTTCTAATAATGTGCTAAAAACATAGGTTTCCTTCTCTATCAATTTATTCTGGGAGGAGAAAAAAAAACTGGTTTGGGAATAAAGCAGCTGTACAACCTCAGATTCCTGAATAATATTCTTTTGACATTTAACATCAAATTTCCCTCAAGTTTCAGGGAGAGCAAGAATATCAGACTGCTTCATTCAACTGCATATTAATTACAGAATTTCTACTATTTTCTTGTTAAACTGCTTACTAAATCATAAGCATCTATTATTCCCAATTCAATTAGTTAGCCTATTATACACACATGCACACATTCTTGTTCAATGCTGCTAGTTAAAAAAAAAAAGTACGGTTTTTGAGTTTTTTTAATTTTTCCTCAGTGTTTTTAAGTTGAGGCGATGAAAACAGAGCATAACAACAAGCTGCACTGAAGCCTCAATTTAAAGAATTTGTCAATACTTGCCTCTCATATGCTACTTTGTCAATTTTCCAAAACCAAAGAGACAAATGCATTTCCATCTGCTCTCTATAGTCCCTCTCAGGAAGATGCACAGGAATAAAGTGCGTACATGCTGAAGAGTTTAACACAGTTTGTGTCCACAGAAATGCAACAGCAAGCAGAACTACTTACCAGAACTCTGTAGTGTCAGTCCTGAGAGATCTTTATCAAGAAAAAGAAAAGAGGGTGTGGAGGATTATAGAGAGATCTTCAAGAGTGTTTGAACATTAAGTTTATCAGCTTTTACAAACCAGTCCTACAGATACCCCCTCTATCACAATACAAGTCTCAATGATAAGTTATTCACAGGATACACATTAACTCTAAGAACTGTGTGCAAAGTCAACAGAAAAGCTTACACAAAAGCCAGAAACTGCTTTTTCAAACAGAAACTGGGTTTGTTTTTTTTTAATAAAGGTAAAAGAAAAATTCCATTAAGAAGATGGGCAAGAGCACAAGAATAATTTATCATTAGATCGTTAAAAGTTAACGGTTCTAACTTAGGCCTGTATTTTCTACACTGAAAAGGAAAACATTTCACATTTTATTTGCACATTTTAGGTCAAGAGGTTACTTACCAATGCCAGGCGATACTACACGCTCATAATGGTAAGGATTTACACACACACTGTCACATTTTAAGTCAAAAGCATACTGACAATATTTAACATGCTTGAGTTCATTTTTATGAAGATCAGGCCACCTCCAAAGACGAGCATAAATCACATGAGGGAATCCCTTGCGACCAGCCACCTAAAAAGTTAGACACAAAAGCTGATTTGGAAAGTTGCAAGACATCCCACTTTACTTAGTAAGGAGCAAACCTGGAAGAGGATGAACATCACCACAACCTCTCTCCATCACCAAAGTAAGAAAGAAAAAAAGGTGTTGTACAGTTTACCCAAGTTCTTCAAGAGAAATAAAGTTCTGTTAGGGTTTTGCTATGGTTAAGTCAACGCTGTGATTCTTAAAGAAAAAATACTTAATACAAAATGGCAGAAGCAGAATTTGTGCTTAGTGTAGCACATATGGTCACCTTCCCCACCATGGATGATTAACAGAGTTTTGCCCCACAGGAGGAGGAACAAGCACCAGGCTACACTGTAAAGGATTTACAAGTAGAAGAATGCCAATCCATTATACTGAAAAAAATAAATAAAAAAAGTAATGCTTTAGGGTAGACAGAGAGCTACCCAACAAACATGACATCTGTCCCAGAACAAGCAAATCACAACCCAAACTATACAGGTACTGAGTAATGGCGATATAAGGCTAACAAAAATCCTCAGTGCAGACTCCTTGGAGTACCTTAGCACGGGATCATGGGTCTGTCTTCCAACTGTTGACCAACACAGAGCTAACAGAAGCTTCTAGTGAAAATACCAGGATAAGCAGCCGCATTTATTATGTGACCCTGCTTTTTACTGCCACACACGCTCATTTAGAATAGCTGATCCAACACCTTCTGCTCCTTTTGAAAAAAAAATAAATAATCAACTACTGATGCAGTCCAGAGCTCCAGCCACAAAACACAAATACAAAAGGGGGATGCCAGAGGACAGCTACTATTCCTCAACATCCTAGGATCCTGAGTTGCTCACTCTTGCTCCAGCTTCACTAGGAGGAAAGCATCTGATTTTCACTGGTACTAACCTGAAGCCTCCCATCCAGCGTTCTCTGTATTGTAACACACTTGCTAGGATGAGCTCCATTTGTGGTTATAGCTGTAATCAAAGAATCCAATTCATCTTTTTTCTCCTTTAGCTTTTTAACTAAACTTTCAATTGCGCGTTTTGCAAAAGTTTCACTCTCTCCACCTTGTCGATGGCACATCAAGCTGTGAACAATGCTCAGACAAGCATCATTACTTGTTGGTGTGTTAGTAATAGACATATTGTCCATTTGTCACAGCTTTTTCTTTCAGATCAGATGTCAGTTTTGGGGGCTGTTATGATTTTGAAGCTGATGATCCAAGTTAAGTGTTAGATGTACTGTCCCTTGGTAAAACCTAGGAGGAAAAAATATCTACATTAGCATTGTTTTTAACAAACTGCAGATCATGTTTCTAAGGAAGTCTGTGGCTTTTTGCTTCTTTTATTTTCAAGCTAAGTGCAAGATATTAAAAGCACATGAAAAAAAAAACACCAAAAAACTGCACTGCTTGTCCTATAACAGCTAAAACATGCTTAAGACACTGCTTGCACAGTTTAATATATAAGATTTTTTTTCCCCTAGTAACATAAAGGTTATAGTTTATATACATGTACATATAGTATGTACATGTAGAAAGGTAGGGATTATTAGATGAACAGGCTCTGAACCAGGAAAAGGAAAAGAGTGACAATGATTTCCTATGTTTTATACTGGTAGGATGAGACCAAGTGAAAATGCTGACTGAGTCAAGGAGCATAGGTTTAAACAAAATTTGAACAGTGAAGAAGCATGAATGTACACCAAAATCATCTGCCATCTTCATTTAATAATCCTCTTCAAATAGTTCAGCTACAATCTGACCTCAGACTGTGATTTGTCTTTGCTAATCACAAAGGAAAAAAAACAAAACTCTTATCTGGCCATTAGCTCAATACACATTTATGTAAATTAGTATTGTGTGTATCTTTATATACAAAAAACCCAACTGGCACATCTGTCCTGTTTGCATCCAGCTTCTTCTGGACCAAGACAAACCAACTGAAGTCACTTAAAAAGCACTTCCAAATATCTCAAACTGAACTGCCTTAACTGCACCAAACAGAAGATGAGGACCAAGTACCTCCTCACACATTTGGCTTTTAAACTCCATTTGTTAAGAACCTGCAGTGGTTTCTGGTCATTAAGTCATTCTTCCCAAAGACAGAAGACCCCACACTTTTGAAGTTCCCTTTAATTCACAAATTAGAAGAGCTAGCCAGATTTTCTCAATTCTGAATGAGATAATTACTATGCCTTATTCAGAAATATAAGACAGCAGGTTTTGGGCACTGACAGAAAAGGGAGTCTAATGTTGTCAAAAGCTGCTTTGGGTCTTTTTGCAGCTTTGACTTGAGGCAGTAATCCAGTAACATCATTCTACCAACTATGCAGTCTGCCTTTAAAACACTGGCAGCAAATACACCGAAGTGATTTTACTATATTTACATTTCTTGAGTAAGCTTAAAATATAAGCCCTGCTGAAAATAACATGTTCTCTTCAGTGTAAATAAAATCTTCAACAGTTAAAGAAAAAATGTTCATGCACATTATCTGAGGAACATATCCAGTCAAAGTCCTGTTACTGCACTGGAATTTTCCATGTTATTAGAGGTATAGTAGTAACAGCTATTTATTGGAAACAAATGTGTTGCACAAAAATAAAGAGTGGGATGTTAATTTAGGAAGTTAATGCATCACACAAATGACAGTGTGAATGCATGGCTTCCCTTCTTGCACGAGGAATAACGTAACATAAGTCAAGCATAATCATAAAAGGAAACAAAAGTCTTTTCCCTATTTTTCTCCAATTCCAACTCAAATACAGCATGCTCTGGTACACTTGGAAATAAAAAAATACACACTGCAAATCCTCCCAACCCCCCCAGACTCCCCCCACTTCAATTTTCAGTAGTTTTCTTCTTTTGTAAGGACACTTCTGAGCCTAATTTATCCCAAAGGAAAACAGTTACCTAATGAGTAAGATCATTTTACCTAGCTATTAAAGTTTCTCCCTCACTGCTACGTTTTTCTGTGCTTCAACTCAGTAAGTCTCTTTTAGAAGTCAAGCTTAACCTGCCAGTCATTCTCCATGGCAACTCGCACTCACATAAATCTGTAAAAGCTTGCCAGCTAAAACAGAATAGAACATCATTTTCCTTAAATATAAAACAGCATCCCAGATAGATATGCATAAGTAATCACAAATAAGTGACTTGATAAAGCTATTAGCCAGAAGAGCTTTAAATAAAGAGATGTTTAAAATAAGACATGCAGCTCTCTCCTACACCCCTAAAACCATGAATGAGAATTTTACTTGCTGACTTTCAGAAGACTAAAAATCAGGCAAATAAATCCTTATTTAAGTGGAATGATCTTCAGAAATGTTGAGTCACCCCTCAGCTGCCACTGAGCTCAATAGGAGCTTCTGACTGTTCAGCACTTTTCAAAGCCAGGCCACTTGTTTAGGAGTTTAAATACTGTTACACGCTGCTGGTGCATTAACTATGCACGGTGATTCGGGAGCCTCCCTTTAGAGCTGCCCCCTACAGAAATCCTGGATTTGATCTTGCAATGCTGATCCCCAGAAGGAGGGGTGAGGCCAGTGGCTACCGATCTAGCACGTACTGATAAATGCTGCGGCATATTTCTTCTGAAGCATCAGAAGCATTAGTGTATTTTGCAGGCAAGCCAAGTTCTTAGGTTCCACAAATCCAGTTTCTCACGAAATAGCTCTACGAGTCACACATTCAAGGGGTGCCTTAACACCTTCTTACTATATTACTTTTATGTGTGCAAATAAAAGCAAAATGCAATCTTAATGCGCTATATTTTTAGAAGAGAGCCTTTGAAGATAAGGTTCCAGTGTGCCCTCAGACACGGAGTGTTAAATGTTCTGCAAAACAGCAGCATGCTTGTGAGATTTAACGTTTGCTTGGTGCAACCATGAAACTTCGAATTCATTCCCCAGCAGGCCCCCTGCCCAACTAGGCAATCCCACACTACAGCTCAAGCTTAGATTTAGAGTGGAGTAAGTAGGGGCAAATATACTGAGCAAAGACCTTCTTAGCTGCCTCTCTACCCAGGATTTCATGAAACAGAAGTGGGCAAGAGGGTATTCTGGGAGGGAAAGGGGCACAGAGAAGAGACAGGGAACACAAGAAAAGCTGCTGCAGGAGACAGAGCTTCTAGTGAAGCTCCCTGCTCCACCTACCAAGGAACAAAAAGGTGTTTCTCTCCCCCCTTCTACAGTGTGATGCAAGTAGAACACAGAAGAAAAAAAAAGAATGGGATGAGATAATATAAAATGCTAACGAGTTACAAAGTTACAGAGAAGTGCCTCATCTTATAGAAAGTAATGTATTTCAATAACTATTAACAGTATCTTATGAAAGATGCCAACAACTAGTGTTCTGTGATAGCTGAAGTATCGGAGCAAGATTAAGAAGATTACTGGAACAAGATTAAGATCCTCTGAAGAGGAGTTAAACCTGAAAGACAAAAGAAGTTAAGATTGCCAGGTAATTTAAAACACACCCCAGTGGTAAGTAACCATTTAACTGCAGCTCTTCCTTCAAGAGTGATGCAGACTGGAACAAATACCGTAACTCTTCTGTACGTCCCACTTCCCCACGGCTGCCTTGCTGAAGGGTGATGTATCTTTTAGCCTGTGCAATGAAATTCAAAACATGAAGCAGCTGTCTAACATTAAAAATGCACCACTGGTGCCACATGCCTCACTTTCATATCTGTGGATAATTCTGCCACAAATGGTTACCTGAGCAATATAAATAGATTCTAAAAACACAGACATCTATGACAGTATGCTACTTCACCTAACAGAAAATCAAACATATTATTGACTTACCTACGTGGAAGTAACATTACTGAGCTCTTACACTACCGCCCTCATTGCGCTTACATTTATCTCATGGGCAGGAAATCAAAATAAAAACCGTACTGACTCAAACCGTTCCACTGTTCTAGGATCAACTGGTACATTCCCTCTCAAAATAGCAATTATTCTACTAGTGTGACTACAAAACAGAGACCAAGTTTAACGTTCAGCATCTTCTGCAAAAGCTAGCCCGGAGCTCCACGAGAGCACTCCCACTTGTGGAAAGAAGATGCTCCTGATCAACTGGAAGAAACCTGAGCAAAGTACAAAAAGAAGATGAGATCTCACCTGAAGGGATAATCAATGCATTTATGGAACGGAAAATTAATAGTTTATTTTGCTAATATCCCTAGAGCTGCAAGACAGTATTATAAACTAGCACGCCTTAAGAACAAGTGCTTTTACATGCCAGAAACCAAGGATAACAAAAACAGTGTGAGCCATGACTTCCAAATATTTTCAGCAACTCCTCAGGCAGCATACTAGGTACTTAAGAGATAGGATCATTTGGACAGCCTCACACGAGCCCCAAGAGTTGCTTAGATATATTTCAGTTTGAAATTCTTCATCAAAAAAGCATGCAGATGCATACAGACACAGGCAGACACACACACATGGTCTGGAGGAGTACAGGGGTTTTAGAATGAGAGAAAAACTGTTTCTGTTTTCCACAGTTAGGAAAAAAAAAAACACATGGCCTTGGTTTCCTTGGTTCTACAGAGGAATTACTGCAGTTGTACAGACTCTCACCTGAGACATAAGGGCAGAGGCAACAAAAAAATACTGAGACTTCACCTAAACCCCCTTTAATGTCCTAGCCATTCAGCCCAGCACATTTTGAAACTTACCTGAAAAAATCCCTCTTCCAAACAATTGCCTTTTCCAATAAACTAATGTGGCTGAAATTTGCTGAGAAGTTACAGATACAGATTTAGTAAAAAGAACTCACATTCCCTTCTAAATATCAACAAGAACCCCAAATGAATACTTTTCACACTTGCAATTCACTTATCTTCCCCCTCTCCTCCCACAAAAGCCACACATTGCAATGTGGGTAGAATGATCAACCCCAAACAAGTAAAGGAAATAACACGCTCACACAGGCGAACCAGTGGGTTATGGATGGAGCTGGAAGCCAGGGATGTCACCCAAAGCAAGACGATCCAGGGAATGAGCACTCCAGCAGCTTGGGCCAGACCTTTTTATCCCTGCCCAACGCTGATATGATATGTGACGCTGTTCATTTACAGTGGGGTTTAAGCCAATCACAGCCACGGAAGGATCAAATTCACCAAGAAACTCAGTCTAAATATGTGACGGCCCAAATGCCACTGGATAATTACTTTAAGATATGAGCCAACGGCCAAACCCCCTCCACAGCATACATTTTGTTTGTTAAGTTTCGACAAAAAAGGAGGTAG